GCCCAGGCTCCGCGCCCCGAATCCCGAATCCCGAATCCCGGGCACTGGGTTTTAAGCAAAGACGGTTACGTTTCAGCTCACACCTGGAAACATTGTATCAGCCGAGGCTTTGAAGGACTAAAGGTGGGTGGTGAGAACTGCCTTGTTTAGATACAATGTATCTATTTCTGCTCTTAGGGCACCAGGGGCTGTGGTGGTACCTGGGGGGGCGCGCGGATCGCGAGGTGACCCCACCATCCAGGCCCCAGGAACCCCTCCCCCAGGCCACCTCCCACTCCTGCCCGGAGGGAAGGGTGCGGTTTGGGAGTTTGGCCCAAGTTGTGGCCTTCTGCAGCTCTCTTTCTCTCTCTCTTTCAAGGTTCGCTGTCGCGCTGGCCGGTTTGGCTCAGTGGATAGAGCGTCGGCCTGCAGACTGAAGGGTCCCGGGTTCCATTCAGGCCAAGGTCACAAGCCGGGCTAGTGAGGGGCGTGCAGGAGGCAGCTGATCCATGATTTTCTCTCATTGATGTTTCTCTCTCTCGCCCTCTCCCTCCTCCCCTCTGAAATCAATGAAAACATATAAACGATAACTTCATCCAGGCTCCATCCCCCCCAGGGTGTCCCACCCTGCTGGCCCCACCCTGGAGCCCGCCTGAGGTCTACCCAGATCTAAGTCTCACTTCCCATCGTCCTTAATCCCCAAATGCCTGTCTGAAGAAAGTCTGAAGCCACCCACTGGTTCACACCCTCATTCCTTCATATCAGCCAGGGCGAGGAGTAGGTCCCCCCTCCCCACTCCACACTCGCAAATCTGCATCCTTGGAAACCATGTCTCAGGCCTCCTCCAGCCTACATTTTGGTCTTTTGAAGAAACCAGAAGGAGGAATTCCTTTCCTCCCAGCGCGGGCCTACTTCTCAGCCCCAGAGGGGACTTCCTTCTTCAGAAAAATCTCTAGAAAGAGACCCCAGAAGAGGTCGCCTACCAGCCCCGTGGCCTCGGGCCACCGTGACCCCGCCCCGTCCACTGGGAAAGCCCAGATCCCTCCCTCCCTCCGGGATCCAGCGTGGGTTTCCGGGTTTCGGAACCACACTCCTGGCTTCTGTGTCCAGTTCACTCTCCGGACAAGCGGAGGGGCCCCTGGTCAGCCGCTGGGCCTCCGGGGTGCTATTTTCACCAGTAAAAGGGGGTTGACAAGTCAACTGCAGAGTTGGGCCAGACGGAGCCAGGAAGGCAGCTGTGGGTACGGGCCAGCTCTCCTTTGCTTCTTTCTCTCCCCCGCCCCCCTCATTGTCCCCCAAACTCATCTCTCTGTAAGGAAACTGACCGGAAGGAAATCAGTCACCAAAGATGCCAAGGTCCTTGCTGAGGTCAGTGTTCCCATGCAGTCCTCACGGACCAATGGCGTCACCCATAGCTGGGACTGTGGACCAATGACGTCACCCGCAGCTGAAACGGTGGACCAATTACGCCAGCCGCAGCTGGAACGGTGGACCAATGACGTCACTCGCAGCTGAAACTGTGGCTCAATGACGTCACCCGTAGCTGGGACTGTGGACCAATGACATCACCCGCAGCTGAAACTGTGGGTCAATGACGTCACCCGTAGCTGGGACTGTGGACCAATCACATCACCCACAGCTGAAACTGTGGGTCAATGACGTCACCCGCAGCTGAAACTGTGGACCAATGACGTCAGCCGCAGCTGAAACTGCTCCTCAAACTGCTCTGTATCCAGATTATTTAAAGATGAAAAGTTCAGTGTTTCTTCTTATCAATCACACAAAAACACACCTAACAGCTTCCCGAAAGTCTAAGTAAAGACGCAGCCTCCAGGAATGTGTCCGGTCACCTTCACCTTTAGTCCGAAGGTCCTCCCAGGCTTACTCAAGCTCCCCCAGCGCATCTCACCGCCTCTGGGGGGAGGGGCTCCCCAACTACAGTGCCCGCCCCCCAAACAGAAAACTCGTAGAGGTTTTCTGTTGTCGTTAATCCTCATCTGAGGGTACTTTTCCCATTGATTTTTAGAGAGCGTGGAAGGGAGGGGGCGAGACCGAGAGAAACATGGATGTGAGAGAGACACATCCATTGGTTGCCCCCCCACCCCGCGCCCCCCACGCGCCCCAACCAGGGCCAGCGATCGAGCCTGCAACCTGGGCATGTGCTCTTGACTGAATTTGAACCCAGGACCCTGCAGCCCGAAGGCCCATGCTCTATCCACTGAGCCAAACGAGCCAGGGCTCAGAGAGGCTTTTGTTCCAAGAAGGTGAAGCGTGAAGACATGCAACCCCAAGAAGTGGCTTCATGCTGTGGTTGGCTCTGGGTTGGGGGGGGGGGGGGGGTCGGCCTCCAGGTTGGAGCCTTCCCAGGCCCTTCTCCGACTCAGCTCAAGTTCAACGCGGAACCCAGGGTCACCCTAGACTTGGAGTCTGGGCGGAGGGGGCAAGAAAAAAGCATCGCCAAGCCTGTTCCCCCTTCCTGCACAAACCTCTCCGGGCTTCTCAGGAGCTGCAACAGAGAAGTCCTTTAACCCCGACTGGTCCCAACTGTGGGTGGAGCCTTGGGGATGGGGTCAGCCCCTGGGACTCAGCTGTTCCGTCTGATGGCTCCACCCCGTTCCATCTTCCTCTCAGGCCCTTTGGGTAAGATGCCGCCTACAGGGGCGTCTCATGGCCACCCGTGGGGCTGCGACACCAGGGAATGGGGGGTGGGGGGGAGTGTGCCTGGGCTGGACGGAGCTGGTGGCTGCGCACAAGATCAGAAAAAGGTCTCCTTGACCCAAAAACTGCCTGGAATTTTGTCCCCACCCTGGGCTCCTGGCTCCGGCGCAGGGAGGTGCCTGGGCAGGTGGAAAGTGTTGGGGCGGCTGGCTGCGCGCCTCCCTCGGTACTTATTCCCCGAGGCTCAGTCCCCAGCAGTCCCCCCCGTAGGCGGACGTCCCGCGGGGTCCCGGCCTCTGCAGCCCACG